ACGGTACGCGACGGAACGTAACGTAACGAACGAAGGAACGACGACCGACCGACCCTACCCGTACCGCACACACACACACACACACACACACACACACACACACATACACACGGGGCAGCGGGAGGCTTTTGCTGCCCAGCAGGGTCCCCGCCAGCGGCCCCATCTGCTGAGCCACCCCAGACCCATGCTCAGGTGGTCTCTGGTCCACCTGTGTCTGCGTCTCTACTTCTGGGCACCGCAGCAATGGGCTACACACCTCAGCACAGACACACACCAGACATTAGTGATGCGTACGCTTGTGGGCACTCTCGTGAGAAAGTCAATGGGAAATCAGGAAGCAGCTCCTTGCCCCCAGGAGACGGGATCGCTCCCTGGCTTGGTCTTATCTGCTGTAGCCCCTGGGCCTCTGGGGGTTTGTGTCCCTTAGCTCTCTGCCTGTGGCCACCCCCCAGTGAAGACCCCCAGGACAAAGAGGGTGGGGGTGGGGATCATGTTTGTAAAGATGCCCAAATGTGAGGTTGTGCCAGCCTGCCGTGGACTTTCTGTCTTGTCTGCCTCTGCCCAGCTGAGCCTCAGCTGCCTCTCCTACTCTTGCTTAGCATTCTTGGGCCCCTGGGAATCATATCCAGAAGCTTCCAGAAGGCAGAACCCAAGGCTGGTGGAAGATGAATCCTCCTCTCCCCTGGGATGTCCTCCAGGTCACCAAGTGGTCAGAGTTGTCCCTCTGCCCAAATTCAGAGTAGTCTTGCTTGCTCCAGGTCCTTCCAGATGGTCACAGCCTTCCAGAACCCAAGGTCTTCCCACTTCCAATATGTCGCCCCTCACTCACCTCAACAGGACCTAGAAGCTGGAAGGCCCAGGGCTCTGCCCCTCTGAGGCAGCAAGGGAGGGAATGTCAACACCGTGGTGGAGGAGGTGCCCTGCCAAGGGAATAGGGGTCTCCCTGGAGGGCAGACACAGGCCTGCACTCCAGCTGGGTGCTGCCACCCTAATGGCAGGACTTCACTTAGGACACACCCTCTATCTGATGCTCATCACAGAGACCTCCTGGCCCCTGAAGCTGCTGGGCGCCCTGCAGTGGCAGAGGAAGTGGGTCACTGCCAGGCCAGCCGGACCCCAAGGAGCCCAGGTCAGGCCCAGGTGTTAAGATCAACATCAGATGCACAAGAGAAAGGAGCTAAGACCAAGGTGATCATCTCAGAGATGGGTATCCAGAGTCAGCGGCAGAATCCAGGCATCTTTCCTCTTACAGGTCCTTGAGGGCAGGGCTCTTAGCTTCCTTGTGCAGAGGGGAAAACACCCAGTCCCCCCGCCACGACAATGAGCCAGACTGGGGCCCATCCTTCCAGCTCTTGCACTGTCCCTCTTTCTGGCCCCTACTCTGACAGACTATTCAAGGCCACTCTAGAATTAATTTCTGGGGTAAAGATGTTCCCTTCTTGACACCAAGGAACTCCTGCCTGCCGGTCTTTTTTCCCTTTGGCTAGTGGTGATGGGGGCAGTGGAACCCGAGATACGTCTCCAGCCCTCAGACACAGAGCAGCAGTAGCAGAAGCTCCGAGGGCCAGGCCATCACCGCACAGCACAGGACATCCTGACAAGCCTGCCCCAAGTCAGGCCTCCCCAGGCTTCTACAGGATGTTAGAGTTGACCTCAGTGATGCTGACCTCCAAGACTCAGCAACAGGAAACAAAGGGGGCCCACCCCACCCTCCTGGTGGCTGGTTCAGGAGGACAAGGAGAGGCCAAGTCCATGGAAACCCACACCTAGGTTGGCTGGGAGAGGATTCACTGTCCCACCCGTTAGGACTCTGGGTGGGGGGACTCTCAAGGGCCACTGGAGCACACCCCTTGGTGGGAAGGGTCCCATGACAAAAGCTTTGCCCCAGGATAGAGGAAAAGACACGAGATGAGGCAGACTTGAGTGGGGCTCCTGCGGGCATTGAGCCAAGGGCCCCAGGAGGTGCCCAGGCCTAAACACAGACCAGGCCTGTGAACTGGAAAATGCTACAAGAACAAGCTGGTCGGCAGCAGAGCCGCCTGAGGGCGGAAGCTCAGGAAGCAGATTAGGGCGGTGAAGAGGGAGGGTGAGCCTAGAGCCCGAGGCTAGACTCCCTAGCAGGAGGCAGAGGAAACCTGAGTGACAGAAGCCTGGCTGAGTCCTGTGTCTGGTGGCCTGGTGATCCACCATGGCCCCCAGGGAGACGCAGACCCACCCCCACTCTGCTCTCCTGAGGATGCCTACACGCGCAGGGTCTCTGCTCCTTGTGACTGAGAGGCTTAACACAGACTCATCTCCCAGCATGTCTGGGGCCGTGGGACTGTGTAGTGTCCCCATAAAAGAGCAAACACCTGGGTATGGGTGCGCTGGCTCTCCTTCCACCTGCTGCCCCAGGTGCTGCCCACAGTCAGCCAGTGAGGGGCAAGGTCCAAACCCTACAGATGCAGAAGGGGCAAAACACTGGAGTCAGGCAGAACCGGGGGCAGATTTGGACTCAGGCACTGATTTGCCACTGAAGCTCTTTCCACCCAGGGATAACATCGCCTCCCTCAAGGGCTGTGTCAAGGCCAGTAACCTGCAGGCACAGCCACCAGAGGTGCAGGCCCTCTTTGGCCATTAGGGGGCAAAACGATGTTCCTGCTCCTGGGGATTTATCCATCATCTGAGAAGCTTAAGGCCCATGGCCAACAGGGCCAGAGACCCATTACCAATCACAAACCTGGGGGCTGTTTCCTGCCTCCACCCCCAGCTCTGGGACACAGGGTAAGACAAAGACAAGCTGCCCCAAGAAGTCCAAAGCCTACTCAGCCCCAAACTTTGGCGGCTGCTTACCAGCTCTCCTGGGCTCCCATTTGGGCCAAGAGCCCAGGCCAAAGCGAGGACCAGTGTCCCAACAGCACTCGCCCCAAACAAACTGCACAGGACCGTTGGATTTGGAAAGTTTTTGTTTTCTTTTCCCACACATTTCCGGGGTTGGGGTGTTTTCCAAGACTCAGACACATTTGTTAACAAAGAGAGAAAAAAAACTGGGGGAGCAGGGAGCCTGTGGGCAGAGAAGTGACCCCAGCAGTCCGCGGGCAATGCCTGGCTCCCTCTCTTCCCTGCTGCCCGCGCCCAGTAGCTGCCACAGGCTGCTGCTCGCGGTATCTAGATTATTTGTCTTCAATATATATCTGCATTTGCCTTTCCCGTCCCACCCGCCCCCCACCCTGCTCCTCCAGCAGCTTCCCCATCAATGCACGTCGCCCGGCGGCACACAACAGAACAGGCCTTCCCAGGCCGAAGTCCCCCTCCCTGGGCGGCACCAGGCAGGCGCCTCCTCCTGGTGGGCGGAGCCAGGGCTTTCGGGGCCACGCCTGCCCCGCCCCGCCCGCCCCTCGCTGGGCCTCTCCGCCACCCTCCCGCCCTTCTTCCACCGACTCTGGAAAGACGAGGAAAGGAAGGGGAGAAACCAGAACACACACA